TAATCCATATTTCTACATCAATTTTCATTGAGCTAATTCCAATTTTAATACATCGTGCATAACAATTAACAATATCTCCAACTGAAATTGATTGTAAAAAATTAATATTACTTACTCTAACGGTTACAACTTTTCCGCCTGCAATTTCTTTTGCTAGAATTGCTCCGCCCTACCCCCTCTCAACTCCTCCACCCTGGTCAACACTCCGGAAGTCTGCCACCACCGCCCGGCTTTCATATTTGTGTTTAATTTTTCCACGCTATATTGTTATATTCGTATAGGTATACATCGCCCATTGTTATGTCCGGTGTAAACGCGCACGAAAACGTGGCATAAGGGCTGTGCTAATGGGGGAAAATCTAATGCACGCGGACGTTGTCCACCATGATGAGCCTATTGAGMCTTTCGATGTTAAGCGGATATAGCTTCCTGTCTAACTCTCACTTGCGACTTGCGTATCATTCGTCGAAGTGGTGCGTTTGAACTTTSACACTAAAATGTAAACTATAAAGCACGCAACTGTTGATCCGTGAAACGGGCCCTACAGACGTTTACGTTGTACGCATGTGCGTATTCACTATTCAGTTTTTTTTTATTGTGTAATATACGTGAACACGCGGCCGGTCATCGTCGGCGGGACTTCGTGGAACTCGGACGGGCCTCGCGCGCACCGTTTGGTTTTTATCTACCGACATTCCGAGAACCGGCCCAATAAACAACGTTACAACGGTCATCATCGTCTCTCCGCACCACCGTACAGTCATTTTATGTGTGTGTTTGTGTGTCCGTGTGTGCGCGCGCGCTCGTTTGAAACCGATACGGCGTGCCGACGGTCGCGTTGACGGCGTGCACGGCACCCACCACTCAAAAATTGATCTGGCGGGAGGCGGTGGCGCGGGGATCGAGTTCCCGAAATCGTTTGGGACCTTTTTCGTTGTCCGCCGCATTCTTGCCTCTCGGGGTGCACATTCCGTGCGTCCTTTTTTCCCCTTCTATTTTACTTCTGCGATACGGWCGACCACGTATTGACGGAGCGCGTTCAATGTAATTATTATTATTTAGAACAATGACAATAACAATATTAAAATATTAGTGTTTAGCGTTATCATTTATGTGATATCATATTGTTACTTAATAGTTAATTTATTACRTTGRGAGGTATATTATGATATAATATTATTATTTCATTATTTGTTACGGGTTCAAGGACGTCGGTGTCGTGAGGTCCGCGCTTCGTTTTGGTGCCAATTCTCCGCGGCGGCTGCAAACACGTGTTTAGTCGTTGGCCAGCACTAAAATTAATTGCTACCGTGTTTACACCACGTATATGATATATGCATATCATATAATAACAATAATGTTATGGGCGCGAAAAACATCCGCTCTGTCCACCAGCCTCCCTTCGCGTATTTGTTTGATTCCTTTTTTGGATTTCCTCGTGTATTGGTAGATACGCGTTTGGAAAGCATAATAAGAAATAATAAGTATTCTCTAGCCGGTCGAAGACTACAACGATGGATGTATCCGTATAATGTATAATAATATGATATTATTATGTACAAAGACGCTTCGGTCTTTTTTTCAGTTATTCGGTCGCGGCCACAGTACGCGGACGCGCGACCGCGTTTTACAATCTCCRTGGATTGACGACGACGATAAGTCCGAGCAGTTTTTATCCTCCAGAAAAAAAAGAGTATATAATATAATATAAAATAATGACGTGTCATGTGTTATGCGTGCGTTGGAATATATACGAGGGGGRAAAAATATATGCTATACATAAGGAAAGGAAAAAAAGAATATTACCGACCAGCCGGCCGACGACTAATGTTATGTCGGCGGCTCCGCCTTGTCGGTACTCTTTGTAGCTAAGAGTCAAGGCCAAGATTATATATCTCAACCAAGGATCTCTTCTGAAACGTTGTTGCCGCATGTTGTTTCGTCTCTCACTCATTCTCTCACAATTGTCCTATCCTCTCACTCAGACACACACATACGCATACTAACACTTACCATTCGCCCCGTTGCCCGTAGATGATTGTAACGCCATCGTTCGCGCGCGCGGAACAGAACAATACTATGGAAACGTGTTATTAGCATATTAAAGAAATCCGGTTCMAAAAAAAATCGTAATAATAATCGGTATCAAATATTATGGATGTGTTTTTTTCGTCTATTCTCCATCCACTCCACCCCCGGCATAGTGGAAAAGATTTTTCYCGAAGGTCGAGCTTAGAACTCCGTTTCCTCCTCTCTAAGTCTGAATCCCTTATTGTATTATTATTAATTCTACGTTTGACGTTCGCGCGTCAATTGCGCGAAGTATTTTTGGCAGTAGCGTGTATGATAATAATTTTTTTGATTTAATATGTAATTGTGTAACTCATTTCAACCAATCTTCAACGTCGTGACCTAGCAAAGTCGGCACAAAAATGATTGAGAAAAACATTACACTCGCGCAACACCGTATATAATACTATTCTAGTTTGTGCGTCTATTGTTCTGTTATGTTTTTTATTCGGTAGAAACAGCGTTTGTATGTGTGTGTGTAGTGTGTGTGTATGTATGATGCGAGTTGAATCGGCCGCGGCGGCTCCGGCTGCGGGAGAGAAGATGGATGGATGGATGTACTCAGCGGTACGTATCAAACGGTTCGCCGCTCTTGCCTCCTCCGTTCTACGTCGCCGACAACCAAACCGGTTTCGTTTCCTCGACAGCGTGAGTTTGTGTGTGTGTGTGTGTGTGTG